AGGAATTATCTTTCCTCTGCTTATTTTTTGCACCCTCTGTTAATTTGTGATATAACAATCCTCCCCAGAGAGAGTAATTGTAATTCTGCAAGCTGAAAAATTTGACTTCAGGTGAAAAATAAGTAGCAGAAATTGATGAACCTTAAACAATAAATATTTGTGTTTGATGCAGCTGCCACTAGTAATTAGGAGAAGATAACTGAGTGGAATGGAGTTGAAGTCGCTCAGATACTCTGAGGGGTTCTTGGTGCATTTAGAGGACCCAGTAGCGAGCTATGAGGGTTGTTGAATGTCTGTGGTACATTGCCACCTTGTGGCTGAAAGTTTTCCTTTTAATGCAAAAGAACATATTTCTAAATATTAAGTCTACATGATACAATCTTATTTGACCTTTTTTGCTACTATTTATAATTTAAGTTGGTAACAAAAGATTTGAGACATCTTAAAAGGTTACATATAATATATGGTAGGAGAATTGAAGAGAATGTCCTTGTTCTTAGCAAAGTCCTGCTGAAATTTTGAGAGGGGGGAAGACCCATAATGTCTGCAAGGAACTCTCCACTGTGTGGGGGTGGGAGGAAAAGAGAGAGAAAAAGCAGTATGGCAAAAGGTTAACTATTCACCAGGGGTAATGGGAATAAGGGAGCTCATTGTACTGTCCTTAAAACTTTTTTTGTTGTTGCAAATTTTATTCTGAAATTTTTCAAATTAAAAAAAAAAATTGGCAGGAGGGGCGCCTGGCTGGCTCATTCGATAGAGCATGCAACTCTTGATCTCAGGATTGTGAGTTTGAGCCCCACGTTGGGTGTGCAGCCTACTTTAAAAATGAAAAATATTTAAAAAATTGGCAGGGGGAAAAAGAAAAAAAAAAACTGGGGTAAAGGCCTAAAATGGAGCCAAGAAGGAAGCAAAATATCCTCTACATTGTGTAATGATCAGACTACATTTGGACCACCGATTGCATTTTCCAGAAGCTGATGTGTCACTGACCAGTGTTCCCTGGCTCCAATTTGGTGTCCATAAGGTTTAAGGCCAAAGGGTCTAGATACAGTTCCTTCTTGGAGGTCCTCCTAAGTAGGACACTGTTGTAATGAACCATGGACTCAACAAATAGCTTCCAAGAGTGCAGTCTGGAACCCCTTTTCCCTACTGATCTGGCTTGATCCCAGAGGGGATGCCCTACAAGTTTTTTGGGGACCTCTCACAAGAATACTAAGTGGCAATGAATACTGATGGGCAATGAAATGGAGGTGGTACTTACTGACAAGTGCTTGAAATCCAGCTATTCAGTGTTACTAATGAATACAGTGAGCTTGGGGGAGAGTTGACATCTTGGGATACGTGAGCCAATGAGGTCTGTTCCATCTCCGTGCACTCGGGAGGAGTTGTTCACAGGCAAGGTTAAGTTTCTTTTTGTGCCGTGATTTTGAATATGCTTCAGTACAAAGACAAACAAATGGATGATTTTGCCCCTAAATTTCATTTTCCTATAAAATATATCCTTGATCGTCTTAATCTGAAAAAATGCTGACAGGTATAACCAGATATCCTTCTCTCTGCCCAGCAAAACAAAACAAGTCTCAGTGAAGCATCCTTCAGAATGCCCAGATTTGAGCGGTGCTACTGAAGTCTTGTCTGAATTTAAATTTCTACAAAGTGTGTGTGTGTGTGTGTGTGGCATTTGGGATTTCCATGAATACCTTTTGTACTTCTTTCTTGTTCTTAATAACTGTCTGGATATAGATATGTACATATGAATATTTTTGTCCTCAATAACCATCTAGACACATACATATGCATCTATACTTTGAAAGTGAACATTTTAGAAGATGTGGCCCTATTCAAGTACGAAAGGTTTTCTTAGGAAAGGAGGACAGATCTTGAAATAAGTGTTGCGACACAAGGGATTCCTTTGTAGAAAGCTGTTGCTTGAAGTGGTTTTAGTTTCTCTGATTCTTGTGACAGGTTTTCTTTTCTTTTTTTTTTCCTTTAAAATTTTTATTGTTATGTTAATCACCATACATTACATCATTAGTTTTGGATGTAGTGTTCCATGATTCATTGTTTGTGCATAACACCCAGTGCTCCACGCAGAATGTGCCCTCTTTAATACCCATCACCAGG